CGGGGCGATCGCGGCAGAAGTGAAATCTCGTGAGCTCATGACGGCACAACTCTGGCAAAAGTTGTCAACGCTGACATGGCGTTTCATGCCTCCAGGGACTATGCATGCCTCAATGTTCAGTTCTCATCGGCATCAGAAGAGAAGGGAGGCAACTTGCCAAGCTAGATTGTCGAGTACAAGGAGCGCGGAGATGCACAGCCCGTTCCTAATACTGATTCCTGGCCAGAGCGACCGCCTTACAAATTCCCAGGACGGCATCTTGGGCCTGAACCCATGTGTTAATCTCTCGGCTTGAGGATCTCCGCTTAGAACGAGCTATGACTGCGCTCTCCGTGCGTGCTCTGGTAGATCTTTCCTGTGTCTGGACCTGTGAGCCTGGCTACGCGACTAGCGCGCTGGCGTCCGTGCCATGCTCATTTTGGGACCTACAAGCCTCGAGCAAGCTAACAGGAAGAGCATACCACATGCCAGATCAAGCGTTCATCCGGATTGAGGCCGAGCGAGGTTTCCCCTTCCGGCGGCGACTTGTTGTCCCCCATCGAGCTGTAACAATTCAGTAATCACACAGTGCTGGCTACGAACGTCCCTGTATCGCCGGCCTCTTTGTCCTCGCATCCGTCCCACAACATTCTGATCAAGCCATGTACGTCACGACTTGGCCTGAGACCCAGCCTCATTGGTTGTCCGTTTCGAGGATGATGTACATTTTTGCCGGGAACAACTCACTTCATTTCGTGAGAACGGGCAGGACCTGCGAGACAACGAGCCGGGCCACCCATGCGGGTGCGGCGTTCCAGTGTGGCATTATCATTCCTGGATCGACATCGGGCTGCGCCCTGTTGGAAACCCGTGCCTCTTCGCGCTCCGGGCTGAATAATTCATGCATCCGAGGTCCACTCTGCCATCATCCGCTCGCAGGTGGCTCGGCCAAAGAGAAGCAGTGGTGTTTTTAAGGTTTTGCTAAAATCTGGGTCGCAGGACGCTGGATCCGTTCTGTGCTTTGGACATTGCGTGGCTAGGCGCTTCCTGGAAGTCGATCCTCGGTTAGAGGGACGTTTGCGCCGCGGGAGCTCATATTGCTGGCCCCACGCGCAGTTACATTACGCATTGGAGGGTGCGAGCGGATGGTCAGAGGTGGAGAGGCAGAGGGGATATCTGCTCTCTGTCCACTCGAGGGCAGGCCCAGCCGGCCAAGCGCGCCGAGCTTGCCCCGAAGGAATCTGGGCTGTCTCTTCCCTATGGTGTACAAGGTCTCATCTGTTGAATCTTGACAGGTTGCTAGCCCCCATTTCACTTCGCACGACAGCTTAACCTTGTGGCAAGCTTGACTACCAGCACCACGCCAGATCTTCGAACCATCACATCGCTCCCGTCAACTTAGACTTTGGTCCTAATTAGGGCAGGGCTGAAGGCTTCACTGCTAATAGGAGCCGTCGAAGGGAAGAGAAGGGACGGTCGTCTTGACCATACCACTCAGGCTTTTGGTCCTCGGCCCACGGGGTCATCTGCCGAGTCTACAGCAAGCTTCCGCGGCCACCGCTCCATTTTACAGTATGGACGGTGCAGAAAGCGGGTAGACCGCCCCTTCGACGGTCTGATGTCAAACTCCAAGAGCTGAATCTACCAGAGTCCCCCGGCGGGGACACGTAAGGGTCAGTGACGGGACTCTCGGCATAGCGGAAAGATGCAATTCCCCCCTTGCCCATGTGTTGCTCGCACAATTACCCCCACTGAAGCAAGAAGCACTGAGCAGGTGTCGAGGACGCTGCTCTAGCGGGGCCTGCGCCCGGATCTAGCCCCAATACCGACGTGGACATTGCGCTGCGACGACATGTTTTTGGAAGCAGATCGAACCTAATCTTGACGCTTTGCCTAGCGCAGTCGAAGACCCGCCCGGTTCCATCTTTTGTAATTCGGATAGGCTTGTGTCCCCTCGTGATGAGTTCATGAGTGTCCTGCCAGTATCCCAAAGGAGAACTCTGGCAGGACACTGACCCGCTTGAGCCCCTTATGGACAGTCATTGCGCGAACAGTCATGTGTTTGGTCCGTCTTGAGACTCGCGGCATACGTGCGTTGCTCCTGACGCTTGTCCTTTTGTGTCCAGCAAAGCCTCGTAACATGGCCGACGTACAGAGTACTTGCCCTCCCGCTAGCTTGCGCTTAGGCTTTCGACGGCTTCGGCACCAGAGGCCGCTGCCATCTAAAATTCACGGGGTGCTGGAAAGAGAGAGCGAGGCTGGGTGTCAAGTTTAGCTCTTTGACTGAAGAATGGTTCGTGGACGGGCCTCCTGTCAGTGATGCGTTTGGCGGATGCTCGATGGAACGTAACCTTGCGAGCGACGAAAGTTGGGGTGAACAAGTCCCTGCCTGAAGGCCCCATCCGGGGCCTGGGAGCCTCTTTTGCTCGTCTCGGGAGGCAACCAGGGGAGTTGTGCAGGCCTTGCGCGGGAACAAGTTAGCCGCACGAATTGTGTAGTGAAGTTGTGCTGGTGGAGCCCGGTGTCCCTGGGTGAGCCGGAGGCCGTTCTGACCTTGGCTCGGAAAGACGCCCTAGAGTTGTTCTACCGTCGGTGACAGTAGAGCTTCGCAACGAGCCAAGCCGTAGTTCAGCTTGAAACAATGTCGCCTAGCAGGCGTTGGCGGTAGATCTTGGGCAGAAAGCCCCCCCACGAGACTGTCCTCGACCGGCGCTCCTGGCGGGTTGGCCTTGCGTTTTCAGCGGCGCGTTCTCGGGAGCACCAGGTCCATCGTGACACTTGATATAGCATTTCAAGCCGTCTCTCACCACCCGGGACAGCAACTCGTGGCAGAGTTGTCGGCGTTGAGGCAGGGCCAACGTCTGCCCAACGCAGAACCGTCACTGAACCTACGTGAGAGAGTCCGCGCAGACCGTCGACCGCTTTTGAGCGTTCCTGGCCGCCGTCTTGATGCCCCAGGCCGGCTCACTTCACCTCGGGGAGGACACCTTGCCCATCTCAGACTGGTGATGGTCGCCCGGCACATCTCACGGCCCCACTGGGGGAGTTCGTCCCCGGCCGACAGGGGCTCCCGAGCAGCTTTCGCCTGACAAGAGGCGAAGCCGCTACGTAGATTATCACGAACTTAAAATGACCTGATTCTGGCGCGCGTATAGATCTGACAGCTGGCGAAAGTAATTCAAGCATACACTCCACCCTACGTCGCGCCCTTGAAGCAGCCGTTGAACTCTGTCGATCTTTCTCGAGAGACAGAGAGCGCTGGCGCCTCGCTCTGCCTCTGCCGTGCCACTACACTAAAGCTGGTTTGGCAGCTCCCTGAGGCTAAGCAGGATGCTCACCGTGGTCGCGAACACTCGTACGCAGGTTCCGTCCCATCATATTCTCAGGGCTACGCGCGTTAGAAAGCTGTCATCATATTCGGCCGAAACTCCTCCTTAAGACAGCCCTTTGTTTTGAGCCCAATGTTTGGCCGATCTCGCCGACAGCGACCTGAGGCAGGCGCCCGTCTCGAATTAGAGCTCCTACTTCAGGGCAGTCTCGTGTTGCTAGCGCTCTCAGGAGGCATTTCGAGGTTCATCGCAAGCCCTGCATAGCCGCAACGCCTCTAACCCGCCATGAGTTTTTTTTTCTTCGTGAAAGGTTCTTTTGTGCTTCTATACTTGGCAACAAAACAGCGCGCCTTGTATGAAGTCCACAAGTAGGGCAGTCGAGTCAGCCCAAACTTCAGCCAACGCTTTAGGCTGCCTGTCAGCTACGCTGGCGCCAGCGACCCCTGCCTCTGTCGTTCAACAGAGGTCTTGAGACGCCTCAATAGGGCTCTCCTCGGCTGGTTCACAGCGGCATAGCGTCTACCTGTTGACGGCTTGTTCGCAGTTTCTTCGGAAGCTAACACTTGGAGTTTGAGATGGCATGGAACCCTGTTGAATCAAAGGAAGGACCGCATGGAAAATAGAACTCGGCGTAATCGGGGCTTCCAGTGTAGATCTGGCGTGTAGCACAAGGAAGGCCTTGAGCGTTGAGGCGCGAGCTGATCTCTTTCACAGCCTGTCCGTCGACAATATCAACGTACATGATAGGAACGGACAGAATTACCAAGTATGGGAACCACTCCAGGGACCAGAGCCGCCCCTAGTCTGACTTCCGGCCGACATACTTCACGACGTTGTGCCACAAGTGGACACAGCCGACTTGACAAGTGAGCTCCCGTGGATTAGGCAGCGTTCCCATCCCCTTGCAAACTGCACACTAAGTGTGGAATCGCCTGATCGAAACTCACGTTTATATTGATCTCATGTAACGTTAGCGAGAACCATAGAGCCCCGCCTTGTATAAGTGGGCCATATCTCCTTCCAATGACGACGTGATGCCTGTCAACAATGAGGAAGATCATCATTAGACCCGTGTTGCCCTTGAAAGCCTACAGCGAGCCGTAGAGAGGAGTAGAGGGCCAAGAGAACTAACTGTGTGGGTCCCGGCAACGCCCACAACACGCTGCCACGATGCTTTTTGTCACTGGACTGAGACGCTCGGAGACATACATGAGAAAGGAAAAAGCACGGAGGCCACGCCACGAGCGTCGAATCTCCCTTGAGATGCGCGTGTGACCTGGATTTGATAGACAAAGATGTTTTCGTAGTAGAGAACACCAACAAGACCAACAGCCCAGGCCAGGTCGAGGAGTGGTACGACAACAAGGAACATGGGCAAGCAGGATGCAGACTCGCAGTTGGATATAGGAGCACAGCGTGTTTCCCTGGAAGCAGGCTACCTTCCCCATCTCTTCATGTCACATCGCATAGCTTCGGATCTCGAGCCGTCAGGGTTCGTCAGAGCAGCCAGTTCGTGATACTGTATTGGTTTCCTTGTATGAACTTTGTGCCACCGAGAATATTTTTCTCGTGGAGTGGGGAAGATTGTTCGGGTATTCCGCCGAGGGCTCAAGGTTGCCTTCGGGTGCTCTAAATTTATGTCCATGTATGTACGACATCGATCGATCTACATGATCGCTCGAACATACCTACCTAGTCTTGACTGTGTGGGAACATCTCCCAGAAGCCAATTTCCATCTTTTACACAAATTAGCAACGACGTTGGCTTCGGATCAAGCGTGATGTCGATCTGTCATAAAACAAACTCACCTTGGTAGCATGAACGAATATCTTGACTAGTTCTTCGATACGAGAAGGTGACTGTAGAACGGCGTTCCTCTCGAGGAGTTCTTCACACGAAGCACGCACACAGGTTAGACATCGCTTCGTCTTCTTCTCCCACAGGGAGAGCTGTCACAGGGAGAGCTGTCACAGGAGGGCTGACTCACCTGAACCCGTCTTCACAGCTTGCACGTAATCATCCGCAACATAGTTCTCGATCCAGTTCCAGTAGTGGTTTCCTTGCCTGACAGACTTTGAGTCTCCATGTAGCATTTTTGCCAGGGCGCCGTAGCCCAGGAGGCATGGGGCGAGTGCGATTTGCAGACCCAGCCAGTCTTGGGATTGTCCGATGTCCAAGACGTATCTTGGGTAAGTAGGACCACGGTTAGAGAATCTCTTTTGACTACATAAAAGAGCCGGACGCGACATACCTGGTGTAGGCCGTGCAAGCTTGTTTCTCCTCGGTCGCCTCCATCTCATCCCGAGAGACACCAAAGCCCTCGCAATATGTCAAGTGCAGGGCTGTCTCCCTGTCTATGTGCCCAACGATGGCGGCGGCCTGCTCGACTCATTAGCGCTGCAACGGTCATCGGGATTAGAATTGACGCACGGCAGAGATGTCCCTCATATTCTTAGCCTTGTAGCCTGCAAGGGCGTTTGCGCGAGCAAACTGTATCTGTGTGTCGAGTCAGCTTCTTGTGCGTATCCACAGAGTGCAGAAAGCCCTAACCAAGTAAAGGTAATCCTGAATAAGATAGCCTTTGAAGGACTCCAGGGGCAGCGTTCCATTCCCCATCGCCATAACGAACGGGTGGTTTATGAATTGATGCCAGACAGGGGCCACATCCGGGCGGTCCAGCATCCATTCAACAAAGCGGCCTCTGGTACTTGGTCAGCATGTCGTCCAAACGAGTTGGGAACTTGGCACTCACGGGGAGAATGGCAGCGAGTAGGTCGAGTGGAAGTGGTTAAGGGGGCCATTGCCACTGCCTAAGCCAGGCGCAGTCTGAATGCCAGACTGGATATACCTACACGCAGCCTTGACGGCCTGCGGGACCGGTATGCCTTTGGCAAGGTTGGATGCAATCGCAGCTGTAGACCGACCCAGTCAGCGTCCTTTCGTAGTTATCCGTGTAGCTCGAAGGAAGAAGATAAGATCTCACAAGCCAGAGAGCAACCCGTGCCATGCGTGTTCCGGCTCGTCTGAAAGTCCGTCTCTATCCTGACGCACCCTTCCCTCCCGCACAGCACATCGACCACAATCTCCCTCTCCGCGTCCGTCTTGGCGACGGCGTAGTCCCTCCTGAGCGGGCAGTGCCCGCCCTTGACGAGCACCCACTCGGACCCGAGCGAGTGCAGAGCGCGCGCCACGGCCTCGAGGTCCGCGACGCCGTCCAGCTCGACGGGCGCGTGGCCCGCGTCGGCCAGCAGCAGGCGCGCCTCGGGGATGTTGGGCGTGACGATGATGGCGCGCGGGAACAGGCGCTCGCGCAGAGCGCGCAGCGCCTCGGAGGGCAGCAGCTCGGCGCCCGTGGTGGCGACCATGACGGGGTCGATGACCAGCCTGCCGAAGTCGCGGCCCTCGAGCGCCTCGGCGACGGCCCGTATCGTCTCTGTCGAGGCGAGCATGCCTTTTGGGGCGCCGGGGTCACATATTAGCAACGGGGTCAAGAACAGTTTCCTCTGTTGAAAGGTTCATGTGGTGTCACACACACCGGTCTTGACGACGTCTACTCCGATGTCATCGAAGCAGGCGTCGATCTGCCTCCTCAGGAACGCGGGCGGCACCTGGTGGATGTCGTAGACGCCGAGGGTGTTCTGGGCCGTCAGGGCAGTGGTGGCCGTCATGGCGTAGCAGCCATGAGCGGCGATGACCTTCTGGTCTGCCTCGAGGCCGCTAGAAATTGCGTGTGAAATGTGAGCCTTGGCTGGCCGGCCCCGGATGCGGATGCGGATGCGGATGAGCTCCGGGTTTGGGGTGGTGCGAGGACTTACGCTCCTCCGGAGCAGTCGGAGCCGGCGATGACCAGCAGTCGGCCCTGGGCCATCTTGGCGGGCAGCGAGGTTCTGAAAAGGCGCCTGAGGAGAGCGAGAAAACTTTGACTGGTTGGACGTCGATGTCATGCGATACTCTGCTTCCCAGTCACACCGAAGGCGGGGCGAAGATAGTAGGCCGTGGCCAAGACAGAAACCTAGGATCCTGGAGTCCATCACGTAATCGCCCCATCATAATGTGTCGAGTCGTGACTTCAAGGACGCAGCGCTTGAGGGTGATAGGCGTCACAAACTTAGCATCTCGTTCAAACGGGGAGGGGAAGTTCATGGTCTGGTGTCAGGGAGCCAGCCGTGCAGCCCCAAATAAGATTTCCCTGCCTTTGCTGAGTCTACCCTGTTTGCTGCCATACTCCTAAATGCTCCCTCAACCCCCTTTCTATGCTTGCACGAAACAGACCAACAAGAAAAACAAAGACACACAGCCCCAAATCACGCCAAACGTTTTCCCTTGATTCGCACGCTCCTCCTGGCCCTAGAAGATGAGCCCAAATCAAGTATGGTGGTAGTGGTACAGTCCAGATATGGGGTATTCAAACGCCTTCCGCCTCTCCGTTTTCAGGCCCGCGGGCTTGCCAGCCAATCGCACCAGATGCAGAACCGTAACCTCGGGCCCAAGTATTGTACAAAATGTCAAACATCGCTGCCTCCTCCCCGACTGTCTCTCCGCATTTTGTCCTTTTGCTGTGAACTCAATGGGGCCACCAAACCTTTTGCGTTGGTAGCAGAAGTGGCCTGGGGGCTCCAACTCAGCCGAGTCACTGCTGCCCCTTGGAATTCATGTGCGCCTATTCAGCTTCAGAGTCCAAGCCGCCCGCCTCGGCATCTTCTTCGTTGTCCCTCGCCGGAGTGCCGGTGTCCGACTCCTGAGCCGGCAGCCCAGTAGGATCGTCTAGCTCCTCGCTCTCACCATCTTCGTCAAAGACGACCTGCCGTAGCACGCTGCGCTCGAACAGTTCAAGCATGCGGCGTGCATTCAATCTGTAGTGATGCATCTCCATGAGAGCCACAACGCGCCGGAACAGTCGCGCGTCGGAGAACCCCGGTGGTTTCTTCTGCTCCTTGAGCTGCACGAGCTCGGTCCGGGCCTTCCCAAAGCGTACTGTGTTGCTGAGGTCGATGAAGAGCTCGAGTATCTTGTGGTTGAGTGGGTCTGGGTCCAGTTCTATGTGCTCGTCGTCATCGAAAGCGCCAGTGTTCGCGTACCCGTATTCGGATGTGGGCGGGCCCATGACCTCCATCAACGAGTCTGACCGTGGCCGAGATGGCAAGACCGGCGGTTTTGCGCTCTTTTCAGTTCTCTGCGTCTCGGGCAAGACTATGGCGCCGGCCGTCTCATGCTGCCAGGGCTGCAGAGAGAAAAACTTCGACAAGTCGCTGGGGACGCAGAACCCGGTAGAGTTCCCTAATGAATTTGTGTTTGCGTCCCAACCTAGCTCTGACAGCATCTCGAGCCCATGGACAGACCTTGATATCAAGCCAATAACAAAGAACGCGGTCCCTCGCATGCTCATGACCTCGTGGTCCTCGGCGATGCGTACGATGTGTGGGACCACATCGCAGCTTTCGAGAAACGGCGCGCCACGTTCCATGGATCCCACATTGCCCACAGCCCACATGCAACCTTTGACCTTGATCATTATCTCAGCGTCGTCAGCTTCAAGTCCATGCTCTTTAATCGTAGACGCAAACTCAGCGAAGTGACCTTTGTCTTGCAGCAACCTGCAACCCTCCTCGGTGCGTGTGAGTTCGCGGTAGAAGTGTGGCGGAACGTGCGGATCCGCCTCCGTGTCTGGTTCCTCACCAAGCAAGCTCAGGCGATTCGCGGGCTCATCCTGACCATCAGCAAAGGCGCGAGCAAGACTGGCCTCGACGGTGTTGACGTAGGTGTCGTTACGACCAAGGAACCAGTCATCCATTTCGTTACTGATGTAGTCCAGGCCGTCCAAGTAATGATAGCCAATTGACGTGGATAAGAATCGTAGAAGCAAGGGAGCACCGATTTCCCCAAGGTGATCCAGGCCCGGTTTGCACTCAACGATCATTTCCAGATAGTTCCTGGTATTGCATGCCTTCTCGAGTGTTTTGATCGCGGTAGCGCTGACTTCAACTTCCGGGTCGTAGAGCTGTGTCACAAGAGCCCTGATGGCCCACTTCATATCGCCAGTCAGGTTGGCCTTGGGATCGTTGGCATGCTTCCCGAGGATGTTGGTGGCATACATCCGGATCTCTTTGGTATTGCTGGTCATAGCCTTCTGGAGTAGGACCTGAGGATGGTGTTGAATATTGTAGTCAAAATGCGAGAGCATCATCTTGATCAGATCGGGGCGCCGCTGGCCGTCAAGGATGGAGAATATCATGTTGAACATCCTCCACCGATTCATCATCTCCAAGCCTCTGATGTCCGCGGTTAAAACACCAAGCATAGCAACGTACCCTCCACTAAGCGTGTCCATAAGTCTGTCTCTGGAGAAGAGGGGTACACGAGCTGTCAAGCCACTTTTCTGCAATGGAATCAGTCACTGTAAAGGCTTGGTTTCTGGAATACTCACAGGATCACATTGAGCCAGGCATTCAGCGAGCTGTCTCAGGACCTTATTGTCGACCAGGTAGGCCCTGCCCTGTGGAGTTTGGAGAAGAGCCTGCATCAGAGCGCAACCGGCCCGTACATACTTTTGCGTATTTCGTGTGTTCTTCATGTCTGAGAATCGGTACTTGAATGGCCGGTAAAACCCCATCACTCTCTTCATCCATTTGGATGCTTTGATGGCGTCTTCCACCCTCTTGTTGATTGTCAAAGGCCCCTCGATGACCTTGAGTATGATGTCCCAATTCCACTTGAGGTAGTTGCTGCTGCTTAATACGTAAGAGTCCACCAGCAACTGCCGAAAGGTGCCTTCGTCGACGCTAACAACGGGAGCAGCTCTGGTCTGCTCTTCTTCTAACCCTGGATTTGAAATCTGATGTGACGCGAGCCCGGCAGCAGTGAAAACAGACGGGGAAGACCGGTAGAGCGTACGACTGACACTGCTGATCTGATAAACCAGACTCGTGGCGACGAAGTGCGACTTCTCATTGAAACGGACGGCAGCTGAGAACAGTCCCGGTAGGAACTGCAGCTCGCTGCTCCATGACGGAGGCAGTAAACGGCTTGAGAGCCTCAAGACCTCACCTAACAGTAATGTCGACTTGCGCTTCAGCGTCTCATCTTCCGCATCTCGGGCGAGATTAAGAAGGGTCGGTACAAGATCCGACCTGATCAGTGAAGCCAGAAGCAGCGCAGTGTAGTGATCCACGAAATTCTGTTCTCCCCCATCGTCCTCGATATAAGCCTGTGTGCCTTTAGGTGCCGTGGTATTCATCGCTGTGACCCTCCCGTAGGTTGTAAGCCTTCTGCCGGCCAAGAAAGGTGTTGCCCATGCTGGGGATTTGATCCGCAGCAACGAGTAGAGAAGGTCGATGACGGTGTCCCTAGCTTGCGGGTTGGGAATCACCAAGCTTGATATTAGCGACCTGATCGCTCTGGAATTGTACATGGACAGGTACATGAGACCCGACCATGTCTTCAGCGCCGAAGAAATCGCCCTGGAATTGTGTTTCAGGATGGTTTCGTTGGTTATGAAGACATCGGTGAAGACGTTGAATATCACCTCCACATCGTAGCCTGGTCGCAGATACTTGCGCCTCTGAGGACTATCCAGCAGGAACAGAAATGCTGAGATCAGACTCTGTGGGGCCTTGTAAGAGCCTTCTGTCAAGGCATCGCATAGAATGCCCATGGCACCAGAGGCAAGAGCCAGTTGGGGATCTCGAACAAGGATTTCAGCCAGTGTCTCCAGACATATCGGCCGCAGTCTATCCTCATTATGTTCTGCAATAGAGACAACTGTTCTGACGACAGCCCTTGACAGCTCCCGAATACCGTCTTTGATGTCCAAGAAGGCCCGTACAAACTTTAATGCTTGCTCCCTCTCCAGGTCGGCCTTTCTGTCTTTGATCAAGGACCTACAGAACATCAGTCTCTATAAGCTTTTGGTTGTGTTCCTTGGGTCACTTACGAGATAACTATGTAATCAGTGTTGAGGGTGCGAATCTTCTTAAGAGAGATCCTGTCTGACATGGCATAACGGGTCATCCGGTAGCCTGCAGCAACGACCTCCCGGCTGTCACTGACGAGCATCATTTGCACCCTGAGGCCAAAGATAGACCAGACCAGGTCATACTTCAACATCGGATACTGCTTGAAGAGGTCGACAAGGCTGTTGGCCTTGGCCACGTAATACTCGGGCGTCAGGCCAGTTGCCTCTAGGGCTTGTAGGAGCTCGCCAAGCTGGTATGTAGGGTCCATGGTTTCTTCGATGTCCGAACCAGCGCCACTCCTCGATGCGCTTTGAGGCGAACGTATCCCTCTGGGAGGGAAGAACTCCTCAGGGGCTCGGATGGGTGTGGTAGGAGCCGCCTTGGCCTGCTGGAGCTCCTCGATGCGCAGCTTGAGGTTCCTGATGCGAGCATAGGAGGCGTTCAGCTCGGCTTCGACCTTTGCCTTCTGCTCTTTGACCTGTTTTGGCTTTTTGTTATTCAAGGCCTCCAGCATGTTCTCGCTGCCCTCCTTGATCTTGTTCTCCCTGGCGAGATCGTCGCGCAGATCGGTAAGGAGCTTGTCCTTCGCTGGGCTGTCGCCCGCCTCGTCCAGCGTCCCCAGGTTGTTGTAGACGTCCATTCTTGAGCCTGCGCGTGACTGCCCCATCTGGCTCCTCAAATCGGAGCTGAAGCTGCCGGGACCAGCCATGGAGGAAGGGTTAAGGCTGGAGCCCCTGGGGCCGAAGCTGACGGCCGAAGTGGACATGTTCCGCACCGACGCAGGGCCGTTGGCAGCAGAAGGGAGCTGGAGGTTTCCGCCATCGTTAAGGTCAAGACTGGGTCGGGGACCGGAGATGGTGCTCGACGATTGCGGACTGAAGGGCTTCTCCTTCTGAGTCGGGGTCTGGGTGGGCGTCACCGACGAGCCCAGCATGGTCGGTGGCCCGTCCATTCGTCCTCCTCAGGGGGCGATCGCTGTCGCCCCAGCATTCGTGGTCGTCTATGCCATCCAACAAACTATATTGTTTCCGGGATTTCTGTGGGTGGCTTGTTTGGTATTGGAGTTGGGCTGGATCGGTCCCCGGGTTCGTTTCGTGTCGGCGGGCGGGAGATAGGAGGGGAGACGATTGATTGTTGAGGGCACTGAGCAATAGAAGACCAGGAAATGTGGTGGAACGTTGCTCAGATAGCCTCGTAGATGACGCAGAAGCAATTGGCCAACTAGTGGTCTAGATCGTCGCACATATGATGGGCAGTGTCGTGTGCAGTCCAGTATGGCTGGTTGTCGATGGCCGGCGACTGTTCCCAATGCGACAGTGGGAGACTACTCTACGGGCGGAGCATTGACAGCTGCCAGCCCGACAAGCCTGGGCAGGCTCATTTGGGGTGGGGTAGGTACGGTACTGTACGCCCGGCGGTACAGTATGTATGCCCTGCGGCCAGGGGATAGGCAACCCCTGTTGCCGGTGGACGGACCGACCTAGACCATTCCCAGCTGGTGGAAGAAGGCTGGCTGGCTGGCTGGATGGTGGTTTGGCCTACATGCAGCAACTCTAGAGTCTCTATGGCGAAGCGCTCCGTCACGCAACCACCACTCAACCTCCTACAAATGTTATTTTCGCCAAGTCATATATGAGCATGTGAGCAGTACAATCTATGCATGCATACAACGGACCGTGCAAGAGATCCGGTACTCCAGTGAAGAAGTACTTGGCTCATGCCTCTGGCTCTATGGCTTCTTAGATTCTCCGGGTGGAAGACACACCGACCTCACTCACTCATTGCCACGAACTTGCATTACGTGCCCTTGACGTCTGCCAGGTTCTCACGGTTGCTCTCTTCTATTGTAGACCTATTTATTGCATTACAATGCCTGCTTGCCAAATGGCCCGATGCAGACTTGAAACATGCAAGATCTCTTTGTCATTGCTTCTTGCACATGTTATATCCTACATATCTTGGGCCAACCAGACACGCTCATGACCCAGGGCATAGTCGTACGATGCAGCAGCATCTGGTATCTGAGGCTGACATCCATCTGACCACGTCCATCCTCCGTCGTGCTGTCTCCCCGCGATCTGCAATCTGCCAATCTACAAACTACAGTTGACATGCCATGGGGTGCCTAGCCCTGTCTCGTGTAACTGAATGTCGTTCTGACAAGGAAACAAGCATGAGAAGCTGACCCCAAAACCACCCCTGTTGCAGAAGGCCGGCCTAGTCAACGGGAAGATCTAAGACAAATGAGATAGACGAAGACTGTCCCAACGGCCTAGACTCCCTCCTGGTGCGACCAGGAGATGGTACGCCTTCGGCAGACAGAGAGGGCGAGAAAGAGAAACAGAACGGCGAAGGCGAAAGACGAAGCACATGGCCGTCGCGGAAGCGTGGCACGATGGGTCCAAGTGACAAGTCATTCAGCACAGGTTGAACGGACCGGCTCATCAGGAAGAGCCCCAAAGCTCAAAAGCCCCACGCTTCCCACGCCTCGGCGGCTTCCGCCCGGCGCTGGCGCTGGCGACCGTCCGCTGTGGGGCTCCGGACCGTGGAGCTGGGAGTCTTGACGCCTTTAGTCGTGAGGCCTGCCCCCGGCTCGGCAGTGTAATTGCATGCATCTGGCCATTCTGCTGATAGTCGGTGCTTTCTCGGTTGGTTGGTTGGTCAGTTGGTCATTCGCTTGTGTCTGGGCCACTACTGAGAAACATCTGCTCCAGGCAATATATAAATACTTAGTCCACCTCTCCCCTCTCACCCACTCTGAACACTTGAATACCTCCAATACTCGCTTCTCACTCTGCTCTCTGACAAGTCTCTTGCTGTCGCTGCCAAACCCAAACTTGACTCAGAATAGCATTGTGCGAAGACTTGTATGAGTGTAGCATCCCGGTAGTCATCCCGAGTGACGATCGTTCTCCCAGTCTGTGGCATAAGCAACCTGGTGAACTCGAGAGCATACAACTACTCATTGCGTGCCCTGCATTGCCCTGCCCTGCCCTTTTCTTTCTCTTATCACGAGCCACTTCTCAACCCGGCAAATCTCACAGAATGCCCAGACTCGCTTCAGCCAGATACGGGAAGGACAATGTCCGCGTCTACAAGGTCCACAGGGACGAGGCAACCGGAGTCCAGACTGTCACGGAGATGACGGTGACCTGCCTGCTCGAAGGACAGATTGAGACATCGTAAGAGACCTGTCAATCATCCTCCCGTGCTCAGACTGATTGCCGCAGACTAACACCCCATTTTCAGATATACAGAGGCCGATAACAGCGTCGTCGTGGCCACAGATTCCATGAAGAACACCATCTACATTAAGGCAAAAGAGCACCCCGTCAACCCGCCTGAGCTATTCGCCTCCATCCTCGGCCAACACTTCCTGGACACCTACTCGCACATCACCACGGCACACATCAAAGTTGTCGTGCACCGCTGGACACGCATGCTCGTCGACGGGAAGCCCCACCCGCACTCCTTCTACCGCGACGGCCAGGAGACCCGCAACGTCGAGGCCGCCGTGTCCCGGGCCGACGGCATCAGCCTCAAGAGCGGCATCGTCGGGCTGACGGTGCTGAAGAGCACGGGGTCCGCCTTCCACGGCTTCGTGCGCGACGAGTACACCACGCTCGGCGAGACGTGGGACCGCATCCTCTCGACCGACGTCGACTCCAGCTGGACGTGGAAGGCCTTCCCCGGCGTCGAGGCGGTGCGCGAGGCCACGCCCAAGTTCGACGCCGCGTGGGAAGCCGCCAGGGCTATCACCATGAAGACGTTCGCCGAGGACGAGAGCCCCAGCGTCCAGAACACCATGTACAAGATGTGTGAGCAGATCCTCGAGGCCGTGCCCGAGACGACACTCACCAGCTACTCACTGCCTAACAAGCACTACTTCGAGATTGGTAAGTCATTCGCTTCCCTGGCATTTCAAGGTAATGCAGGAACTGACAAGATTTTTCCTCGCAGACCTGAGCTGGCACAAGGGGCTCAAGAACACCGGCAAGGACGCCGAGGTCTACGCGCCCCAATCTGGGCCCAACGGTCTTATCAAGTGCGAGGTTGCTCGATCCTAATCCCCGGGTATGAACATTTATGTCTCGATGAATTTATGAGGACTGGAATTTGTGAAGACCAATATAATCTATTAGACAGCCATTTGGGTAAATCACTGGTACAATGAGGCTTGCTTTGCTGGCAACATATCCATTCTCAAGAATCCGTTGTTCATTGTTCAAGGATCCATTGCATAAGACAGGTCTGGTTAATTTTGGGTACATAGATGGCTCAACTCATCTCCTGGAATAGCATTTGCATTTGCATACTCGCATTTATGCTTTTGGTGTTGTTTTCACGATCTGTGCCCGTTCAGTATTGCACAAAATCTAATTACATCAACGTCCCTTCTCGAGCCTCATTCGATACTCATTCGATCTTGATAACATCCAATCTCCACCCAGCGCAGGGTTACACGTCCTTGAACCCACCACGGCCGTCTCCTGAGGTTCATGTCTCCAACGGGACGTTGCACTGCGGCTGTGTCACTTTCCGCATTCCGGTTTTCTCGCAGCACAGGGTACCACACGCTCTAGACAGCAAGCCGACCGTTCTAGATGCCCAACATGGCCGGAATGCTGCGAATGAGATATCTATCACAATTCCGCAAAGAAACCTACAAATTCCCAGTAAGGGTGCAGCCGTCCATCGACCGTAGTTGTGCTGGAAATTTGGACATGCGAAGATTCCTCGCTCTGCCGGCATCTCTGCGGCCGTCAAGTAGAAGCGTGCCTGGAGCCTTTCCTGTACACAATCGCAGGGTCGGCCAATATTGACGGGCTAACACCCAAGACGCACCATCATAGTCTTCTCTGACCTAGAGACAGGCACTTGTAGATGTTCTTGATATGTTTCATTCCTCTCAGTTTGCACATGTTTGGTACACATCCGAGCAATATACTCTTGCCCGACCACGACTTCTCCACGAGGATCGCCCATCACCTCGTTCTCCCCCCCCTCCCCCCCTTTTCAAGACTTTCATATCCTCGCAGCACCAGCCTCTCTTATCTTCTCAGCCACCTGCGCCCAGCCCTCGCTCCCGACGACCTTGCCTCCAAACCGCGCCAGGTTCTCGTGGTACGGGTGCGCCTCGCCCTCGAAGGCCTTGAGGCGCGCCAGCCTCTTCTTGCGCAGCCTGTTCTTGGGCAGCATGCCGCTGACGGCCTTGCGCAGGACCTCGCTGCCGCCGAACTTCTCCATGAGCACGTCCATGGTGACCTCCTGGAGGGAGCCGGGGCGCGTGTTGTGCCGGTAGTAGCTCTTGCGCCACTTCTTGTTGCCCGTCGTGTACAGCGCCGCGCAGTTGGTCACCACCACGTAGTCGCCGCAGTCGGTCGAGGGGTCGAAGATGGGCTTGTGCTTGCCCATCAGCAGGGTCGCGATCCGCGACGCCAGCCGGCCCAGCGAGGGCGGCGTCACGGCCTCCGGGGGCGACTTGATCGTGCTGAGGGTCGGGTGCGGCGTCGAGGCGGAGATGTTGTGCCATACTCGGGAGTAGGCGAGTCGGGTCTGCCGGGAACGTCAGTCACAGATCCCGCCGGGGAAGGGTCGTCGCGAACGCCGTGGTCTGCGGCTCGCCAACGTGGGAAGGGGGGGGGGATCGACTCACGAGACCGACTGTCTGCGACATGTTGAAGGTTTACGAGGAGCTGCGTCCCCTCATCCACCGGCGATTTGGGATACAGCACAGTACCTCCGATTCAATTGGATCTGCCGGGTCGGGTCGTCCACGTATCGTCTGTCGCCTCTAGTATTGCATCGCTCGCTAAATTGTCGTGAAAGCCAAGCAAGAGCAGAGCTGCGGATCCAAAAATTGGAAGGACGCTTATCTAATCGGTGGATGGCCCGAACTCGCCAGAGAGACAGGGGTGTTCCGTCCTGTCGGTCCCACCTGAAAGCCCACCGAGCGGCGGAGCCCCGGACCTGGGGGGATTTCAAAGCAATACGCAGCACATAATGGACCGATGACAACTGAGGAGGTGGGCTGGCATGATATGAGCCTATTAAGTGCATAGTCTCTTTCCACCTTCTCTTCCTGCTGTATCTGCTCTCTGCAGTTTAAATGAGCAAGTCTCTCAGCTACTTGCGCGGTATCTCTGGCATTGCTCTCCTCGGCTCAGCAGGCGCATATTACGCTCACCAGTGGCGACAATCAGCCAACCCTTCCACAAACTCCTCTCAAAAACACAGCGCATCGGGGAACTCGAAAATGACGGTGGATCAGAAGTTTGAGGTTCGTCATGTCTCCCACTGGGTCTCAAGTCCAACCTGGGCACGGTCTCCATACCGGACAATGGAGGCCTATAATCTCACCAAGAGGCGCCGCTACAAGGTCATCCAGGAGGTCAAGTGTGGCTAATGAAACGTGCCGCGACCAACAGACCCTTTTCGCGGTGCCTATGACCTGCGAAGGCTGCGTCAAGGATGTTTCAGACTCGCTCTACAAGGTCGATGGCATTTCCAAGGTTGAAGCAAATTTGAAGGAACAGATGGTCAGAGTTGAAGGCACAGGTAAGGGCTCGACAGGCCACGGTGTTTCGTTTTGATCCTCGCGATGCGCTGGTTACAATGTGTCTTGGGGGGTGGGTTGGCATGGAACATCGGGTGATTGGCGTGAACGCATCCCTTGATCCGTTGCTGATGTTGGCATGATATCACAGCACCACCATCAGCTATTGTCGCGACGATCGAGGCGACTGGTAGGGATGCGATCCTGAGAGGGTCGGGAACATCAAACAGTGAGTTGCCATCCCACCGGATGATCACGTGTTGTTTATGCTCTCCAAATCACCCATGCATATATGGTGTTTGCAAACCATACGACAAAAAGCTTATCTCGTCCGTGTGCGGTCCTTGGAATGGCAATAGCACAATCATGTTGTGGCTGGGTGCATAGGCTGACCCCTGGCTTCACTCCTGTCATCATTTCCAGGCTCGGCAGTCAGCATACTTGAGACATACGCCCAGCTCAAGGAGGAGCGAGACCAGGTGCCCGACCATCAGAAGAACAGAGAAGTGAGAGGCCTCGCGCGTATGGTCGAGGTGTCCAAGACGGTGACGCTTGTGGACCTGACAATACGCGGCGTCGAGCCGGGTACCTATCGGGCCACCATCCGCGAATATGGCAACCTGGCGGAAGGCGCATCCTCAACAGGGCCAGTCTGGAAGGGTGACCTTGCCGGTCAGTCGGATCAGAAGAGCCAAGTGAGAGGAGAGCTTGGTAATGTGGAAATTGGGCCAGGCGGTCGGGGCAGCATATTCCTCGACCGGCCATTCCAGGTATGGGAGGTTATAGGGCATGCTTTTGTCGTGTCTCGCCAAGGTGAGACAGATGGCAAACCGCTGGAGAACGACGACAACACTGTTGTTGGTGTGATTGCGCGGAGTGCTGGAATGTGGGACAACGACAAAACTGTATGCTCTTGCACCGGCAAGACGCTGTGGGAGGAGAGAAAGGACGAGGTCAGGAACGGCATGCTGTGAACATGAGAGCTTCTAGCATCGTGGGAGCCCCAGTTGCACGCTATGTCAAGCGCATTTTGAAGAGCATCTGTCATCAGTCGTCGTTAGATCGCCTTGGTGTTCGGCCTTGTTGGAGGGAGTCGGTATAAGTGGCAAGGATATATGGATATCATTTTTGCCAAGCCTATAATTCCTCTGTGGTCTGCGGGACTGATGGGACGAAATGCTTGATACTGGAGCCGGTATGTCTACTGAGAAGACAGCAGTACCAATAGCTGTCAGAATTCAGCACAGCACAGCACAGCACAGCACAGCACAGCACAGCACAGCACAGCACAGCACAGCACAGCACAGCACAGCACA